CAAAGGTGACCCAAGCATTGACCTTAAGCAATAAAAAATAGTTTTTTCCTTCAGAAAATAATAAAAATTAAAGTGTTAAAAAATGTGATCGTGTTTTGAGAATGAAATTTTGTCTTGTTTTTTTTTCAAAATGGCAAGTGTTTTCGATAAAAATTGAATGAAATGTAGGTAAAATAAAATGTTTTGAAGTGGGTTGCAATTTAAAAATATTAGAACTCTTGATAAAACCTACATTTTTTTAATACTTTATCATCTATCAATTAGTTTTTTCAAAAAATAAATTTTTTAAGCATACTTTTTGTTCATCTGATAAAGGAAATGTAATAACACTTTAAGATTAAAGAAGTTTCGACATGATTATACTTCTTCATAGTTATATATCACTTTCACTTCACTACTGCTTATTATGAAGCCCACATTTTTAAAATTTCTCATGTGTTCGCTGTAGGAAGTAAAAAAATATATTACAAAATATCTGAATATCCGCAAACTATGAATTTAGATAGTGAATGTTTGATGTTTCGCAATCTAATTGATGACCGATCGATGAGTAACCAAATTTCTGTATCTACTAATTAACAACACAAATCACACTATCGTTCTATTAAAAAATTCAAACCACATAAAATAAAAGTAGCTATTCAAGAATTTTATTTACGTTAGTTAAAGTTACATTTCACATCATTAGCATATTTTAAATTGCTACCTATAACAATTAAACAATACTTAAGTATGTGATCTTTGATAAAGTAGACACAATGGAATCACCTTTAAATCGGGTCACTGTGTATATAGAAAATTCTTTTATTGAAAGTTAGAGAGTTTAACAAAGTGTGCATAATAAGTTACCACAGGTTAAATGTCACGACCACTCCAAGGTTAAATTTTGAAATAAATTTTATATAGAGATCATCAAAAAGTTCAAAACTGGACCAAACCAAGATCAGATTGTAAAGTTGTAATTAAAAATTCTGTAATTACGTAGCAATTACATTCTTTTGATTTACGACAAAGATATTCTGTTGCAAAATTAGAAAGGTGAAGCTTCAATGTTATCCAGGTTTTCCGCTGCACAGGGAAGCATTATCTATAAATTTTTTACTAGAAAACCACACCAAACATTACGTAATAAGTTAGTGAAATTGTAGACAATTTGACAATTTATGTAGGGAATAAACAACAATTTTAAGGGATTAACAGTGTTTATTTTATAAACTTTTCTCCCAACTGTATAACATAAGCCAAACAATGTCAAATAATTTGCAAAATATTCCGTTCATTGAATTGCAATTTAATAGTAAAAATCAGTATCAAGGAGTTTGTTTATGTCAAAAAACACTCAAAAGGTTCAATTCATTCAATTCCGTTTATTTTAAGAGCAAAAATCGGTATTTCATTTATTTTATTCTCGAGGGAATAAAGTACGAGATTATAAGCCAAATATGAGGAAATAAAGCGTCACTTTATTCCCTGTCCCTGTCCAGGAAAAAAATTCATGCGAATTCATTCTCAAGCAAGGTTAATTCTGATAACTAAGTCAAAACCAAGAATCTGACTTTTAAGTCGCAAAATTTGATTAATAAGGTTATCAACTATTGTCAAGGTGGTCGACACCAGCATCATCAATAACTTTCGTTTAAATAATTTAACGAAATAATAAAGCAATGAAAAGATTTAATATTTTGTTATCAGTTGGAAAGTCAACGCAGGAAACATTTTTGTTTATTATTATTATTATTTATGTTTTTTTCTTTAGTTATGGCATTTGGAATCTTTATTTATGATCTTGAAATTAAGTTATTTTCACTTGGACCAACATCAAATTTATTTATGCATAATATATGAAGATAAGTTTTGTCTAAATAATAAATCACAATTTTCATTCTTGAGATATTTAACAAAGATATGTGAAAGTAAAAAGTAACATCTGCTACATGGGTTATTGCTATGATTCACACATTATTAAGAAAATCCAAAATGTGTTTAAGATGAGAAAAAAAAAAACATGTTTTGCTGCAAGCAAAGAAATTACACCAATTTTCACCACATTACAAGATTACGATAGTTACAATAGTTTCAAAAGTTTACGTTTTTTTACAGCCGAAGAGTTAAGGAAAAATATAATTTAATATTTTTATAACAATAATGTAGTGATTTTTGAGTCGGTATGACAAAATTTCGAGTTTCTAGCTTAAAAATCTGCTTAAGCTCTTAAAGAAAGCAAAAATGACATCATTTTTGTCCTAATTCTATAATTTTTCAGATTGTTTTTAACAAAATTTTGCGAAATAATTGCATTTCTAACTGAAACGTGTGGCAACGCTCAAAAAATATAATTTTTGGCTTAATTTTGTTTTAACAAAATCTCGTAATAAACTTGAGATTTGAGCACTAAAAAAATTAAATAAATAAATCAAATGAAACAAACAAAGTAATATCAATATAAATTTTTTGTAATTTTAGGCGTTTTTGGACAAGATTTTGCAAAATAAATGAACTCTGGTTTGAAAACGAAGTAAGTCGAGTGAAACAAGTTAAAAAATAACATCAATTTCGATTTAATTTTGCAATTTTTTTAGCTTGTTTCTATGTAAAATTTCGAACTTTTTGTGTTTTTGTCTCTCAAAAACATCCTTAAACACGCGGGAAAGACAAAAACGCCGTTTTGGGGCTATTTTGTTTAATTTATGGCTTGTTTTTGACAAAATTTTGCAAAATAATTGTGTTTCTAGCTAAAAAAAAGCATTCGAAAAAAAAAACAAAATTAAGTTGTCAATTTTTGACTCTGTTTGTAAAAAACAAACAGAACTATTTTTAATCAATTTGGTGGTTTTCGATTACATCATTTTTGCCCTAATTCTGTAATTTTTTAGATTGTTTTTAACAAAATTCTGCGAAATAATTGCGTTTTTAACGGAAACGTGCTGAAACGCTTGAAAATATAATTTTTGGCTTAATTTTTTGGTTTGTTTAAAGAAAATCTTGAAATTAACTTGAGATTTGAGTACTAAAACGTGCTTAAAAAAGCGATTTCGACAAAATTTTGTGGTTTCTCGGCTTATTTTTTATTAATTTTGTTCAAAAACCAGTTAAATCAAATGAAATAAACAAAATAAGATCAATATCAAATTTTTGTAATTTTTAGACGTTTTTGGACAAGATTTTGGAAAATTAATTAATTCTGGTTTGAAAACGAAGTAAGTCGAGTGAAACAAGTTAAAAAATAACATCAATTTCGATTTAAATTTGCAATTTTTTTAGCTTGTTTCTATGCAATATTTTGAACTTTTTGTGTTTTTGTCTCTCAAAAACATCCTTAAACACTTGGAAAAGACACAAAATGCCGTTTTTGGGGTATTTTGTTGAATTTATGGCTTGTTTTTGACAAAATTTTGCAAAAGCATTCGAAAAAAAAACAAAAATAAGTTGTCAATTTTCGACTCTGTTTAATAATATCTTGTAAAAAACAAATAGAACTATTTTTAACCAATTTGGTGGTTTTCGATTATTTTTTCTTCGAGAAAATTTGATTGATTTCAGACTGCTTAAACGAATTTTTTTGTTTTTACCTCAAGGCTCAAATAACAACATTTTTGGCTTAATTTGTTGAATTCTTACCTTATTCCTAATGAATAATTCTAGCTGGTTAATGTACACCTACTAAAGCAGTTCAAGCACTCAAAAAGGTAAAAGTAAATTGTCATTTTTGAGCCATTTTAGTAAAATCTTGTAAAAGAACAAATAGAATTATTTTTATCCAGTTTGGTAGTTTTTTCTTTTTTTTTTGGGGAAATTTGGTAAAAGAATTAAGTTTTTAGTTAAAAAAGGTGGACAATGTTCGAAAAAGATACAAAAATAGTTTCGTTTAGGTACTTTTGACCTAATTAACTATATCAATAATAATTGAGATGTCAATGTATTCATTTTTCAGTTTTTTTTTTCAAGAAATCAAGTGTTATGCATAATATTTAGAAAATTTTCTTAAGATTTTTGAGATATAACGAAAATATGTGAAAGTAAAAAGTAACATCTGCTACATGGGTTATTGTTATTATTCACACATTAATAAAAAAATTAAAATGTGTTTAAGCTGAGTGAATATTCAGGTTGTCTAAAAAAACATTATAAGATTTCGGAGGTGATTCTTCAGGTCAATATAAGAAAAAAGTTCTTATGGTCCAGAAATGCATCTTAAGGAAACTAAATCCCTCTAAAAATGGCGAACAGAGGTTTCTTTTTTAAACTATTATTTCAGTACAAAATTTTAAATCCGGGGTAATTTTTTGGGGCTAAATCTACTTTGTGTTATCAAAAATTATATTACAGACAAAAAATTTTGCTTTGGAAACGTTTATGATTTTTTTACAAATTCGGATTTGTTGGTTAATTTTCTTTAAAAAATGACTTTTTTGTTATTGTTTTGTTCTTACCAAAACTATAATTTTTTTAAACGTGAATTTTGAAAAGTAGTCCATGCAATGAATTTCTTTATACAGGGTATGTCAAAATTTGCTTCCTAGAGAAAAATTACAAGTAAGATAAGATTCCAGAAAGATGGAAAAAATATTTTAAAAATTCTATCTGTCAAAAAATAAATGTCAAGATTTTTTAAGGAATCCCCCCTCTCCATCTTTTAACGTTTTCTTGAACACTCTGTATATTTGTAATGCATACCTGGATTCCTATTGTTTTACTCATATTGGATAACTAAATTTTTGTATTAACAATTTTTAGACACTAGAGAAGAAAGAATAGCTTTCAATAATAAATACTTTTGCAACGTAATAAAAATAATCATAATAATTAACAAAATATAAGTTACGAACTGTTAAATAATTTAATATGAAAATTATTAATTGAATCTGTAGTTATAGTTATTTATTTGTATCATTAGAAATTGTAAATACTGTAATAATATGTGAAACTAAAAGTGAAAACACAGTGTCAACTGTATACAAAATGGACCAGCTTTTAAACAAATAAAAATTTGAAATACTTACCGACATTTTGTCGTTTTTAACGTATCATTAAAATCACCAAAAATCACAAATCAACAGCACACACACATATCCTGATCAATTGAACGTCTGAACTTTTTACCAATAAGACTTGAACGACACTTCAAACCCCACCTAAAGAGATGTTTGAAATTCTCCACACGTAAAGGGTTCAAAAAGTCTGCACAGAATTTAAATATTGACAAATGCACCGACACAATGACCACTTCGAGGTTCTTTAGCACACTATTAAAATTTCTCAAGACACCAGATGGGCTGGGTGAGGTGAAAGGTAAATCAATAGCGGGGAGAATATGAATAAGGAATTCGTCCAATTTGAAGAAGTAATGAATGTGGCAAAAATTTCATTAACTAAACAAAAATGTAGGGCAAGAATTTACTCAGTTGGGCAATAACTGACAAGGTTTTTCCCTAGAAACAAACGATTAACAAAAAGACATTGTTAAGTTCACGTTGTTTAACACAATCGCTTATAATATCTTCACACAATTTGCCAAGGCTAACGCAACTTTTTATATAGGGTGATTCAAAAGTGTCCAACAAATCTCGAATGCTGATAGAAAGATGTTCAGCTAAGAATAAAAATGAATTCAGATTTAAAAACATAACTGCCAATTCAATTTAAAAATTCCTCAATTGAAAAAATACTCGTGCATTTGTAACACTTGTTTTTTAATATACTAATTACATCTACTTTTGCGTGAAAGTAACTGATGTCTGTTAAGTTCTAAAATAATTCCGGAGTTTTTGGAATAGTTATGTTATTTAAAATCATTTATAAACAAACTAGTGGTTTCGCTGATAAATTACTATTCTAATAAAAAAAACATTAAAATATGTATTAGTATTAACAAAGAATCCACAAAAAATTCAAAAACAAATAAATACCTACATACCTAATTGTAGGAACAAACCTTTCAAAAGTAATTAACAACTATTTGGAAAATAGGTAATTCTGAAATAAATATCGATATATCTTTCCCATTTCAGCAGTTTTAAATAATATTGGGTACAGTGTTGCCAGCTCAAAAACATAAAATTCGAGTTGAAAAATTTGCCAAATTTTCACCAGACTACGATTTGTAAACTCTTGAAAAAAGCAAAAAGACATTCTTTTTGGCTTAAGTCTGTGATTTTTCGGTTTGTTTTTAACGAAATTTTGAAAAATAATTGTGTTTTGTGTTAAAACGCTCGAAAAATATAAAAATAATGTGATTTTAGACTTAATTTCTTGATTATTAATTGTTTTTTAGGGAAATCTAGCGAAAAACCTGAGATTTTTGTACAAAAACGTGCACTTTCGGCCAAATTTTGTGTTTTCTCGGCTTATTTTTGTCTTATTTTGCTCAAAATCGAGTGAGACTAAGAAAATAACATCAATATCAATCTTTTTTGTTATTTTTAGGCGGGTTTGGAGAAGATTTTGCAAAATAAATGAACCTACGAACTAAGTCGGGTGAACAAGCTAAAAAAGGATATCAATGTTTGATTGATTTGATTTTGTAATTTTTTAGCCTGTTTCAGTGCTATATTTCAAACTTTTTGTGTTTTTATTTCTCAAAAAGACAAAAAACGCTATTTAGTAGAATTTGTGGCTTGTTTTTAAAACATTTAGGAAAATAATTGTGTTTCTAGCTGAAAAAGCATTCCACAAAAACAAAAATAAGTTGACATTTTCGGCTCTGTTTAGTAAAAAACATATAGAACTATTTTTAACCAATTCAGTGGTTTTTGATTATTTTTTTATAACGATTTTTTGATTTTTGACACTCTGTAGCAAACTCTCGCGAAAAAACAGAGTTTTCAGCTTAAAAATCTATTTGAATTTTCAAAAAAGATTATTTTTGGCTTAACTTTGTGTTTTTTTGGCTTGTTTTTAACAAAATTTTGCGTTTCTAGCTGAAAAACGTGCTTAAACTTTCAAGAAATGCAAAATAATGTAAGTTTCAACAAAATTTGTTGATTTTTTAGTTCGTTTTAGCCAGTCTCGCAAAAAACCTGAAATTGTAATACAAAAACGTACTTAAAAGCATTCTCGGCTTGTTTTTAAAAAAGTAACGTCTTATTTTGCTCAAAAACCAGTTAAATCGAGTGAAACAAACAAAATAACATCAGTATCAATTGTTTTTGTGATTTTTATGCGTGTTTGGACAAGTTTTTGCAAAATAAATGAGCCTCTTTTTTAAAAACGATGTAGAGCGAAACAAGCTAAAAATAATATCGATTTTGATTTAATTTTGTAATTTTTTGCTTACTTCAATTTTAGAATGTTCTTTGTTTTTATCTCAAAAATGTGCTTAAACACTCGGAAAGGGCAAAAATAATGTCGTTTTTTGACTTGTTTGAAAAAATTGGCAAAACAGTCAAGTTTCTGGTTGAAAACGTGGAAAATACTGAAAAACAGTTTTTTTCATTTCAAAAAAATCACTAGATATTAGAATTTTTAAAAAAGTGTTCATTAAATCGCCAAACTAGCATGAAAATCACCAGATTTGGTGAAATTTTACCACACCTGGCAATACTGATAGATAGAAAATCTAAAAACAATAAATAGAAATATTTTTTTTATATGAATGTGTAATTATGTAAGACTACACAATTTAATTGGGGCAATGAACAGGCACTTTTATTAACTATTAGAACTAACTTATTAGTTCTAATTACTGTTATTACATATTGTTGATGTTTATAAAAAAAAAAAAATCAGTAATTATTAATTTTTATTACTTTATTATTTATTTATTTTACTTATGTCTGCTTTCTGGAACGATATAGCATTAAATAAATTTTATCAATTCGATGTTACTAATAAGGTAGAGCTGATCTGATTGGTGTTTCTATAGCAATTATGGAACCGATAAAATTTACCTACCTATAAATCGTTTCAGAAACCGACCCTAAATAGCAACCAATTTTACATAAAAATAGTCTTAACAAATACCTACGAATAAGAACTCTCCGAATGAATTTTCTTCTTTTTTCCTATTTTCTGCAACAATCATTTAGACCAAAAATTTTAACCATTTTTGCTAACAGAAACATTTTATCAGTACCTGATTTATAAACGTCAAAATATTTTTCATTGTCAAAACTTTTGTATTTGTCGCTAATACTTAAAACTCATTCAATAAAATATTTAATTTTTTAAACTATTTGTTACTTACCATAATTATAATTTCAGATTCGGCGCTAACAAGAATTTTTCAAGATTACCAAATAAATCAAATTGTTAAACAATCATTAATAGCAGTTTTCATGCCATTTTGGTATTTTCAGAAAAGGTTCTCTCCCCGCATAATTGTTTTTTACCGAAAATTTGGCTTAAACTATTTATTTTTTGCAAAAACTAATTGATGAAGCATAAAGTATTTTTTCTACGAACCTATAAAACAGATATCAATTTCACATGATAGAAGTTGACAACTTCATATGTCAAAATTTTGTGCGTTATTATAAGCACGGTTATGATATAATATAACTTATAACGTAATAATTTACTTTTATCAAGTAGGTCAGAACTGATTTTGATAAGTTTATAACACAACGTTTTTATGTTATATTATTACAATAACTGTCAAATTGATAATCTGACCATTAATTTTACTGATTCTAAAAAAGAAATATTTTTGCACTTAATTAATTTTTTTCAGTGTCGTAGAAAAAATACTGTACAAAACTAGATGGAACTGGGACCTGTAACCTGTAACGTTTTATCAAAAATAAAATTTTTCGAAATTTTCTTTTGTTTTGAGTTCTGCAAAATTTTTATTTTTTTAAATGGCAACCTATTAAAGGAATACTAACTAGATATCTACTTTATATTCGATTTTGCCATTCTGACAAAAAAATCACATAATTTAAAAATAAAGCAAAACTCCATTTCCAAAACACGATCACCTTTACTGTAGTAGGTAGTTCCATTTTTATTAATCATTATTTTTTGGAGGCAAATGATGAAATAAAGGTTTGGTTCCATACTTTTTGTAGGTATACCTTGTAGATATTTCAATATTCCCCGTAAGTTTGATTTAGTTTAAAAATAAGATATCAAATGTTGAAAATATTCTTCTAATGTAAATCGTGTGTATAGTGTGCAAAAGGATGAGTTTTACACGCAAAATGTCATGGTCAAAATGTTTCTTGCCTGATACCTAACATCTTTCGCATTTTTAATATGGTTTCATTAATTATTCAAATTTTTGATGGAAGAACTGTGAGATGCTACTCGTATATTTTATAGGTGCTGAAATATCCTTAACCTTTAAGATCTCTTACATGGTTATATCTATATAAGGACGCCAAATGATTACTTTTCCAAAGAATTTAAGCTATTTGAAGCTTTGCATATGAATGGATAGCATTAAAAGTAATTGTAATATTTCCAGTTTTTGTATCGTATATAAAATTAGTTACAATTATGTCTACCACATGAGTATTTAAAGATGATTATGCGTAAAATTTGAAAATTGAAATTAAAAATACTTATTTTTGTTACCTAAAATGCAATGTTTGCGTTTCCAGTCGAAGCGAAACCGAGTTACCAATTTGACTTTTTCGTCTGGAAAAACTGACCTAAAAAAACCATTTTACGTTCTATTTTATTTTATTGAGTTGGGAAAAGACTCTTTTTAGGGACTTACATCTTCGTAGGTCATGGAAATTCAAATTTAAGGTGGCAACATTTGTACTTTGAGAGTTCTAGGTTGTTCATTTTTGTACGATTGCATCCACTGAGGCTGAAAATTTCAATTTCAATTTCAATTTTCAATTTCAAAAATTGTGATAATTGTCGCTTTTAACAAATTTTGTGCTTTTTCTCTCCTATGGTCCCTTCTGTTCCACGTTTATTCATTTTAGAAAACCTGTCTTTTTCAAGACAAATTTTTCAGGATATTTTTTTTCCTAAACAAAGTTTTGAGAACAACAATGTTAGGACAATCTTTACCTCATCTCACTCAAAGAGAACGAGAAGCAGTTTGCCGTTGTTACAACTAATTTTTTAAAGATTACAATAATTCTAATAAAAAGATATAAATTTATTTTAAAAAATGTAACTTTAAATTCTACTGCTAGTTTTTTGCTTATCTTGCTTTCCTTCATTAGGGATATCACATTCATTTAGTAAATATTCAACTGTCGCACTCTCCTTTTCACATATTTTACACCTCTCTTCGGGTTCCAATCAAAATTTACACTCTCCCAATTTGTATA